ATGATGTATGATGTACTAGAGAATTCGATGTAATCAAAGTTAAGTATATTGATAGGACTTTCAGATCCTCAAAAGAATCTTTTAATATCGACACTCTATCAGCTATTGATAATAAAATATTCACAGTTAAATATGAGATCTGTTATGGAGAAACTATATAGGTAAATTAATTTATTGATAATTTAATAAAAAATAGCTTTCATTTATATTTATTTAAACTTAAAAGTTTGTTAGACCGTTGAATATGAATCCGATATCAAAATTAATAAATTCAAAATGATGGATTTAACATGGCGGATGTGTCAAAACTTGAAAAATGTTCGGATTGTTATGAAATGTATAGATATCTTTCATAATATTTTTTTTGAATTTATCAATTTCAACGTCAAAGTCTTATATAGTGACCTAAAAAACATTTATATTTAACTAAATATAATTGAAAACTATTGGATAAATCACGTAATTCACTTTTCCACAATCGACCTATTGAATATCTAATTAACTGTATAGCCGACATTAAAAAATCCTTTTGGGGATTGAGAGTTCTATTAACATGTTTAATTTTAATAGCAAATAACACTTTTTCAGCAAATCTCATATCGTTACAATATAATAAATTACAGAAAAACAGTTATTTTTGCAACTTTAAACGTAAATTTCTCAAAATTATGTCATAATTCTCATAGTTTTTTTTTTATGGTGTATACGAAGCTTCCAAATATTGTTCCATGCTTCGTATACTGCGTAAAAAAAAACTAGGAGATTTGACTGACCTCGTTCTATTTTTTTAAATAGTATAATCATACATCTCGAAAATGCTCTCCGAGGAGTTTCTGGACGTAGAGATCGCCCATTCGAACGATACATTTATCAATTTCCACTCGTTTCTTCATAAGTTTAAGATGAAACGTTATTCCCCCACCGATTGTTTAGCTGTTCCCCACTCGCGCAAACATTGTGTGGCTACCATCACGAAATGCTATTACCTTCAAAGAGACAGTACTTGCTGCCTTTGCGAGTCAGAAGCAGGCAGGTGCGCGTGAGGTCCAGCGGGTGTCCAGCGGTGATGGTGGCGGTGGCAGCGGGAATACATTAATTCGCTTATCAGCGATCGTCCGTGTATGGACGAGCAAAAAGTGTAGCATGCAGCTCGTGTCTCACGCGCACAAAATCGGGTTTTACGACGTTTAGAAGGCCGCACACTCGCATTCGTGACAGACGTCAAGCGTGAGCGCTCCGGTTTAAGGTAATAGAATATGTAGATACTGTCCAGATAAGGATATACACATGTGGAAAACGTTTTTTCGTTCCAGAACCGTGACAAAAGTGAAAATCGCAAACATCGTTTTTGTAAATTCCCGAAACGCGAGTGTACATAATATAAGAAAAAAAAATTATTTATCGTCGTTATTAATCAAAAATTCACCAAAGTATTATATGTATTTTGCATATGAATATGTCGAAATGCCTAATGTTATTGTGATAATTCTAGAAGTATCGAAACAAGTCACGGGATTGAATATTATCTAATTTTTGGCGATGTTTATTAATACTTTCACGACAGATAAAGTATTAATATAAAATATGCACAAATAGTTTTAAAAGCGTAATGAGATCAATGATAAAGACAAATTAGTTGATGGCAGTTTATTAAGTTTTATTTTTACCTTATTCGAGTCTAGTTTAAAAAATTAGTTTTATAACAAAAAAATTTATTTAATTTTTAAAATAATGATGATTGCATAATATACTACTCAATAAAAATAGAAAAATACTTCAAACGCTCAAAATTGCACAATTTACAGATCACTGTAATTCGGTACAAAATTATAGCTGACAAAAAAATTTTAAAAGTATTTTGAAACTATACACTTAATTAGCTGTATACTTTAACATGCTTTTAACAGTTTTTTTAAAAATTATGTTTACAGTTTTATCTTAACAAAGATCACGTTGTTGATCTTTAAAATTACATTCAACAGTCTACAGCTCGATAAATTATTTTTTCTAAAAAAAATTTAATACTTTTACAAACAAATACAGATTTCTATCTACACAATGTTTAAAAAATTTTTTTAATGATTTTTTTGACTGAATTACGCGATTTTAAAGCTAAACATATATTTCTTACAACCAACATTGAAATTCGCGGCAAAAAGTTATCGGAAAATTTTTTATCTCTCCAATTCTGCAAAATTAAATTAAAAAATGATCAAAAGCATGTTAAAGTATGAACTTTGTGCTTCAAAATACTTTTATAATATTTTGTCTGCAATAATTTTTCACTGAGTTACGGTGATCTGGAAATTGTGCAATTTTAAACGTTTTTAAATTTAAAAGTATTCCCTATTTTTTGAGTAATTTAATGTAATTGTATATTTTTGTTGTATCTATAGTTATATTATTATATTTATGTAGGTATATGAAAAAAACGGTTTTGCTAAAATATTAAAAAATTTTTAGAGACAGATCTGAAAATAATTTTGTTTAATAATTTTATTTTTCCTTATTTAATTTTGTTAATTTTGTTTAATTTAAGTAATAAAAGCAAGCCTTTTTAATAAAATATTTTTTTAAGTTTGAACATTTAAGGGCTAATCGATCCTAAATATTAATTAAAAGGTCACGTATATCACATTTAATCATATGATAATATAAGGTAAAATATAGGGTAAAATATAAGATAAATATAGGGTAAAACATCTAAATTAGGCCATCTGAAAAACTCGCTTGTTTTTGATGATATAAAAAAATATTTCATGTATATATAATATAAGATATGTAATATAATATATAATATAAGATACAGATATCAAAAAATCAATAGTTTACGAGATATTTAATATTTTATGTCAATATACGTCAGAATAAAGTATAAAATATCTCATAAACTATTGGTTTTTTGATATCTGTATTTTCATACTTTTATATGCAGAATTGTTAAAGGAATCATACATTATGTAAAAATAAGTCATGTAATTTAATTTAAAAAAGTGGAGGTGACCTTAATATATTTTTGGTGCCTCCACCGAGACAAAAAATAACTTGACCAAAACACGTCCCCCTCGAAACCGCTCCATTTTCATCTGAAACATTTTTTCGTATCATCAAAAACAAGCGAGTTATTCAGGCGACCTGTTTTAGATGCCTCATCTTGTGCGTGTATGTGTGTAAAATTATATAAATGGTAATTTTGATAATACATAATTGTTAATATTATTTACTACTAAGATGCAATATATATTTTTATATAGAATTGCCCCATCATTTTAGTATTCGCATCTCCTATTCCATTACAATATCGTATTTATAATATAATAGAATCCATGCAAAATCGCGTGACAGCTCGATTATCACGTGAGAGATCCTCCGTTCGCAAATTAAAAAGATATATAAAGAGAAAAAGAATCGTGGAAATAATAGCTCATTCTGTTGCTCCATTCGTGTGCCGTGAATTCTAAAGGCAAAGTACGTAAATCTCTTCAACGTCCTCGAGATTAACTTGGACTATTTGGTTCACGGAAACTTTCTTGAGTCACCTCGCGCGGGTAATGATCGGAATATCAAAACACGCTCCATTAATTTATTAACATTGTCTAGTTTCTCGTAAACCTCGTTTTCACGGAAACAATGCCTGTCTCGCGCGTAAATCGCGAGAATGGATAAATTTCACTGAAGACTTTCGCGAGACAGCAGCGCGGCGTGCGTTTAATGCAATATCAGAATGGTATCGTAAAACCGAATACGTGCCGGTAGTTACTCCCTTTGTGCATTTCACCGCTCGACATGGTTAAAACAGTATCTCGTGACGCAATAGGATAAACTGCACAATTGTTTCAGCTATCTGGCACAATTGGAAGATTACTTTATCTAGTTCGGCTTTCCGATTTTCTTTTCGGTTTCTCTCTTTCGAGCGCAGCGGTTTTCCGGTTTCCGGTACCGTTGGGAAATCAATAGCCACGTGCCATACATAGAAGTTAACCGCGTGCTTGCGAGAGGTCAGCACGCAGCCTTCGGGGAAGCACTGGAATTTCTCCTGGCATTTTTCAAACATTTTACAATTATCTGTTTATTAAACACGATATTTCGTATATTTTTTGCAAAAAAAAAAAAAAAATACAGCTTTGCAAAAATATAGTCGAGAACGCGAGACTCGTTAGTTGCTCCTCTGTGAATTTCCACATTAAAACATTTCGGTTAAATTACCTGATGGCGAAAATCTCTGTAAAACAGAAATTTCGTATGCGTGTGTTCAATACATACAGTGTTTGCAAAAATACTCTTTTTTTTTTTTTAATTTAAATAACTCTCGTGCAGATTCACGTTGTAATCGTACAGATAATAATCGTTGGCACACACGCAATGACGTTAACGCTGTAAATCAAAAAGTCGAGAACAGATAGACGAGATTTCATATAATGCGATTATCCAATCCGTGCTTTATCATTCCGTGTTGTATTGCCGCGCGTAGTCGAACGTGTAGTACTTCACATTGCGCACAGCTTTACACTTCCTTTTTCGGTTCCTCAATAATTATTACGCTCTGATAATCCTGTTTCTAATGCGTCATACTTTTTGCATTATTTGCCGCTGGGCCGCTAACTTCCAGCACCTGCAACATCGTCGTTATATGCATGCGTTGTTTATATACCGCCGGGATAGCTCCGGCTACTCGGTGGAGAAGTCGTTTCCGAGGGCAGTTCCTCTCCCATTCCTTCCTCCCTCCTCTCTCTCCCTCTCTCTTCCGGTGCTTTTTATGGGAAAAAGCTTTCTGTAGCCAGCTTCGCGCGGCGAACTGATCTCGTTTCTTTATGTAATGCTCGCCCAAGTCCGACGCGCGCGACTAGCATCATTTTTCATTCGCGATGTTCCCAAGAAACTTGAAACATAAAGCGCCAGGTTGAACTTTCGATCGTCTGCACGGCGGCGCGCGGCGATTCCCGGCAAGTAGTATAAATTCCGAATATGATTGCAGCTTACGAGACGTAAAAGACGAAAGCATGCGGCTGTGCTGCTCGGGGAAGGACGAGGCTGACTCGCTGCGGTCGGGACTGGAAAATGGTACGAATGATATCCACACGTTGACGTAATCGTAAAATGGAAATGCAACGCGATCTTTGCGTCGGAAGAATAATCTTGAACGTAAACTGAGAAAAATTCCATTTAATAAAAATGCGCTACAATAAGACGTGTACGAGCAATGTAAAAGTATTAGAAATGTCTTAAATACCTTATACATATGATATATCTTCCAATTTATAATAGTTATCAAAACAAGACGAAAGCGAGCTTAGTTTATGTACTTATAATAGTTTGTATTTAAGCAATTACATTAATTCGTATGTATATAAAATATATTGAAAAGGAAGTCTTATTTTTTAAGCTATTATAAATTGTGTGTGCGGAAAATATGTGTCTAAGACATTTCTAACTATAAATATAATTATAATCATAATTTATACTGTATTTACAAAATTTTATTTTTTAAAATTGCTTCTTTTTATATAACGTAATAATTCGAATAAAGTAGGTATTAATTTATATAAATTAACTAACGTTTTCTCGCAAATTGACTTAACGTAAAAATCCTACTTTTTACTGTTAAACTTCAAAGAAATTTGCATGAATAAGTGATAAATGTTGCTTGGTTTTATTACATAACATAGGCAAATGTATGAAGTCTTATGCACACAGTCAGTCGTTTGAAGAGACGATTAAGATGAGCTTACATTTCCAGCCGGATTATTCTTCCATTTAGCGTTGTTTAAGTATCACTGCTTAACAGTAGTATTAAATTACTAAGTATACATGTATATACACGTGCATTATGTACAATGTGGACGCTAGATTGTTAAAGAGATGTCGGAGATTACACTGTAATTGTGCATAGACTCTAGATACCCGATTATTCAATATTACATAACTGGTTAAATGCTTAAGTATGCCGTGTAATTATTTTATCCTTTAATCAAGAAGTGCAAATTATACAATCGAAAATCTTCACTTATTTATTCTAAATAAACCTCATATAATAAATAAATAAATATTTTTATTAGTTTAATATTTCGAAATAATGTTACTTCGTGACATGTGATTTTTGTTCTTATAATTTTTTAATCTCGAGAAGCACAGATCTCTCTTACAACCGAGTCTTTATTTATTTTTATAGGACTTACGAAAGATCCATTAGCAGGGAAAGATATAGAAAAATTTGGATTTTATCAGATGGTGATGTTCGCATTTCTTAGCATACCGTTAATACTATCGGCAGGATTTACGCTGTCTTACGTATTTACTGCGGGCGAGGTTAAATACAGGTACGCGTATATACATATCTTTGTTAATTATTTAAACTTTCACGTATGTTTACGCAGTTAAAATAGAATTCAAACGTATTTGCAAAACACAATGTCGGATTTTAACAAATTTAAAACATACAAACGTTTGAAAATACAATGTTAAATTTAAACTATGAGAGAAAATTAAAGAAAAAACAGCAATTGTTTAAATGCAGATGTTTAGTGCCGGAATGCGAGTATTCAGGGAACACGACGTTTGAACCGCTGTGGGTCAATGCTTCCGCACCGAAAATTGACGGGGTCATTTCCGGTTGCACGCGTTACGTGGTGCGAGATGATCGCCCGGGCACATGCACGGAAACATCGTTCACCAACGTCACTCGCGATTGCGATTCTTGGATTTACGATCCGGACGAGCATACGATACTCAACGAGGTAATGTGGCTCGCAGTAATCAGCGTGTATTTTTCACCCGTCCAGATTTAGCGACAGATTAATTTCCTTCTTCCTTTTCCTTCGCTTATTTCAATGCAGTGGGGCTTTACCTGCGACACTAATCGATGGAAACTCACAATGGTGGGCACAATGCAGAATATCGGTCAGTTCGTCGGCTTGATGTTCGCTGGATACATATCTGACAGGTGAGGGATCAGCGCGATATCCCCGGGGCTTTAATTAATTAACTACGTACAAAATATTGCGCGACATTCGTCGCGGATGTCGGCAATGTCGTTTTCATTTCATTTATATCTTCATGTTGCCAAGAAAAAAAAATATAATTATGTTAAAAATATATAATTCTCTAAATTTCATTATACCATATGACGGCTAATTTAATTAGCTATTACGTGATAATATTCAGGATTTTATTTTTATGAAAATCAGCTATTCGTATATGACATTGTAACTTGTAAACGATGACGTATACATGTACGATAAATTCAAGTTACGCTATTTTTCTTCTAATTCTACACAACGTCTAAAAATACATTATTTTTTTACATTTTTTACATTTTTGCTTATGAATTATTATAGATACGCTCATACAGATAATTAGCTGTATTGTGAAATACTTTTTTTGTTACGCGGTTTTTTTTTTTTATATATTTAGCAATAAAGCGTGATTGATTGCGAGATTAAATTCTTAGTGAAAAGGATATGTTTAACTTTACGTAATACAAAGTAGTACAGACAGTCTGTAACAATGTTTCCACAATTTGACGATTTCACAGATTCTGGATAAGAAAGCATGGCGTATCGCGAGGAATTTCGCATTGCGGCATGGCTGAAATGCGCTTTGCCGGGACAATGTGCACATCCACGTTCATTCTTTTATTTCCAGGTATGGGAGACGAACCTTTTTGACGGTGGCGACGTCTCTGTCTGGAGTCAGTGGCTTGATACATTCCTTCTCCGTGAATTATTGGATGTTTCTCGCATTCGAATTCCTCGATGCCAGCATGGCGGCTGGAATTTACAGCGCGGGATTTATTTTAGGTGCGTTAATAACGGGACAATAAATATGCTCGGGGAGAGCAAAAAATATATGCGACACCTGTAAGCGTTATGTCGTTCCTGCCCTATTACGAGTGTTCGCGGGGCGGCGAAGCAAATTCTCGATGCAATGCTCTTTACTCGCGTTTGGAATGCAAATACGCGACACGCATAACGCAGATATTTTCGAGTTATTTATTCTGGATTTACCACGTGTTTATTTAGTCGTTTATTAAAATTGTAGTTGTAGCTTTATGCGACATGCATTTAGATTTCTATATGAAAATATATTCTGTGACAAAACATTCACGAGAGATATAATACTAACAAGTCATATGAAAGATAATAAGTTTTCACTCAAAAATCGAGATTACACTTGCGGAAAATGAACAGATGGAAAAAAAATATTGCATTTTTCTTAATGTATGCGGAACGATTCGAAAATATGCTTTTTCTTCAAATCAGCAATTGATATTTCGATAATGTTTGTTGATATTTATACATATACATGAGATTTCTTATTGAACCGTCGCGTCGCGTCGATTAAATTTGTCGATTATATCAAGTGATTGAGATTTTTTCAAACCATGTATATCGCAGAATATTTTTATCACGCACTTGTATCGATCGTATGAATACATTATTTTTATACTTCCGCTGCGTTGTATTAATTATTACCGATAAGTTGTATATTACATAAGAATCACGTATTATAAGATATGTATATTAATTCCACGTTTCTCTTCAGTGTAATGTCCTTTCAGCATAACTTATACGTGATTACGTTCGCTAATAATTTATACACTTGTTCGATCTCAGGGTTGGAGACGGCGGGAAAGAAAAACAGAGTCTTTGGAAGTACTATAATCTGCTGCATGTTCGCCGCTGGTGAGATTTTGCTAGGATTGATCGCGAGTTGGCTAAGATCTTGGCGAACGCTACTTAGGGTAGTATATGGGCCGGCACTGTTAGCCGTCTTCCTGCCTCTGCTCATTCCAGAATCAATTAGGTAATTCTTTTTAATCTTAATGAACTTTCGCGTATCGATGAGACGTCCTTTTCAATCGATTAGCAAGATTTAAAATCATCGAACATTATATATCTACAATTATTGAAGTATGTGCGCGATTCTCCTTGGATATCTATCGCGAATTTAATTAAAAATAACGTAATTCATTGCATTAAAATGATTAAAAGATTGAAAGATTAGCTAGAATCATTTATTATCTTAATGTAACTTTTTATAGTAAACAATTAAACGGAATTTATTAAGGAATCTTTATAAAACGGTAGAATTCTTTACATTCTTTTATCCGCGAAATATACGCACATAATACTATTTTCAAGGTGGTTGCTGACAAAGGATAAACATAAGAAAGTGGAAGAAATATACCGTAAAATGGCTCAAATGAATGGCTTGCCAGTAACGAACGAGGCCATCAATATGTTTAAAGAAATAAATGTAGATAAGAAAGGGACGGTATGTGTTACTTTTATCTCTTTTTTCTCTCCTCACAAATGTACATGTTTAATTATAACATTGAACAAGTTTTATCTACAATCTACTATTTTCTAACATACAACTATCGTTCGTAACTTCCAGTACAGTCAGTAACTTTTATATTACTCTGTAAATGCCAATGTAAAATGGTGACTTGCACTTGATCTTTGCGACTTCATAGTCATCTCATGATTGATACGATCTTTCAGAACAGCAAGCTGGTGGTATCGGACGAAAGGAAACCGATCGTGCAAGTTCTACATAGTTCAGTGATACTCATTCGACTGCTGATCTGCTCGTTCTGCTGGCTCACGAACACGTTCGTTTATTACGGACTATCGTTGAATTCCGTGGCGTTCGCTGGAGATAAGTACATCAATTTTGTGCTCGTCGCGGTGGTCGAGATACCGGCGTATTGCCTCGCTTGGGTGCTGACCGATTACATTGGCCGTAAACCAACGCTCTCCGGCTCATTCCTGCTGAGCGGAGCGTTCTGCCTTGCAATCCAGTTCGTACCGGCAGGTAAAGAGATAAAAAAAAAATGAGGTTCCTCAGACAAGGATGGATCCTTGTTTCGTGGGTCGCGTTATGAAAAGCTGTTGAATCCGAGTTTACGCCAGAGAAATTTTTGCGAGGAAAGAATTTCGGAAATATTTTTTGAAACATTAATACCGACGATGTGCACTTCGCTGTATACCATATATTCCTTTCTTCTTTTCATCATCGAGCTATTTAAGTATCCCATTCATTTTTTAACAAAAGAGAATAGATACGTAACACGAAAGTGCAGAGGAAAAAGTTTTTGAAACTATTCGCTATTTCTTTTGTTTGTTAATGCCATAAATTCTCGTATTATCATGACTGAATATAGAAATGGATAATGTAAATGTCAGGCCGGTGTTCCTGATCAGTTCTTATATTCAAGATCGTTTAAGTATAGTCTTGAGATGTCAGAAATCAATCACAGAGCCGTATTAGCGTCTTAAGATGTTACTTGTAATGTAAGAACAGACTATGAATATCGATCTTAGTTACGTTTTAAAAAACTTCGTTCGATACTTTTACCACGTTTTTATTCTCCTCTCTTATTACTAAGATTACGTTTTTATCGACATGCAAGGAAGGAAAGGCACGCATTGGAGCTGTACTTAAAACTGCTAAATCTTTTCTGCTTTTTTTTTTCCCCTCTTTTCCGTGGTCCCTTTCGCACGTGTCCTGGCTGGAATCACAAAGTTTAATCGCAAGCGCACGCACCAGCGCACGGCGAGGAGCTATAATCGTGCGAAAATATAAGCTGTAAATGTGTGATACGCCGCGTTGCATATTACGTGTGTAATCCACATCCGAGGGCAAAAAGCGCGTTGAGACGACGCTACGTGCCGTCGTCGTTCGGCTTAGTCGCGACCGTGTTGTTCATGTAATTATGTCGGTTATAATGGGCCGTTATGCCATGGCGCGCGATCCTGGTGATTTATCGCTGCTCTGTTCCAGGATCCTGGAGTTACGGGCCTTTACTTTTATACATGGCTGGAAAGTTGTGTATCACCATGGCGTTCGCTACCGTCTACGTCTTCACGGCGGAGCTGTTCCCGACGACGCTCAGACATTCCCTGCTCGGAATCTGCAGCATGACAGGCCGTGTCGGGTCAATTTTATCGCCGCAAACGCCTCTTTTGGTGAGTCAACCGACTATTGCAATAAACAGATGTTTTTGCGACACGTGTTTTTGCGATGTTTTTGCGCAATTCGGGAATTGCTCTTCGATAACATCAGCTCTTTGCTAACATTTTTCAGATTTACGAATCTATCGACACTCTGTAATTTCAGATCTGATATTTTAGAAATTTTTTACTCTTAAAGATAATATTTTATCTAATATCATTTTATTTTTATGTAGCTTCCCATTTTTAAATATAATAATGTGCATACGATTTTATATAAATTGTATATAATATATACATAAGATTGTATTTTGTATATAATAATATTTCACAGAAGAGCTATGCGGTTTGCTGGTTATTTCCGTGTCTTGATATATCGTTAAATGTCAACGTTTCGTGAACATTGTAGTTTACGTTTACTCCATCAGGGCGAGAAATAACCTGATATACGGTATCAGATTACTTCTCGCTCTGATGAAGTGAACGGCAATGTTCACGAGACGTTAGCATTTAACGATGTATCGTGATACGGACAATAACTCATAAACCGCGCAGCTTCTTTGAAGAAAATACTCATGGAAGCTTTTTAAAAGTATTATAATATTTTACTTTCAACAAAAAATATTCTGCAATGATATATTTGCAATTTTCCTTAAATGATGTTCTCAATCACTCAATTTGTTGAGAAATTTATCGTATAAACTACTGTCTCAAACGTTTCACTAATTACGCGTGTCCTTATTTACGTTCAGGCGCAAATAATGCCGTCGCTACCGCTCATCCTGTTCGGGTCCATGGGCATGATCGCGGGCATCCTGTCTCTGATTTTCCCTGAAACTTTAGGGACGAAACTTCCGGATACTGTGTGGGAGGCAGAGAGGATCGGCAAGTCAAACGAGACTCGCGAAATTCCGGATAGTACGCCACACCAGAGAAGCACACCGTAGAACGTTAAGACGCGTTAAGTCTCTCTCACTCGCTCATTCTCTCTCTCTCTTTCTTTCTCTATACCGGGAGAACGGTGATAGCTTTTAAAAGTTTACTGACAACAGTGGAGATGCTCCCATTGACGCCAGATAAAGATAAGGGGATGGTCTTCACAAGACCCGACATCTAAGATACGCGGAGCGTACAATTGATGTGGGGAGGGAAACAGTGAGATCCCATCGTGCTCGCCGCAACATTGGGCGCAATGCACGCTCGCAGATTTTATCTGTCGGCAATTTGAATAAGCACGGCATATTCCACCCCGTAACTGTTTACCCTCCGCCGCCGCCACCGCCGCCGCTGCACCCGTCGTCATTTGTCTTACTCCCTCGCGTTTATCCGCTCGCGCGCGCGCGCGAAAGAGAAGGATTATAATATCTTCCGGTAAAGTCTCAGTGTTCCCACGGTATCTCGAAATCTTCCGAAATCTCCCCCGACGTGCATGAGCGTGCAATTCGCGAGGTGTTAAGTGGAAATAGATCAGATCTCTACCGCGTTGGTCCGTCGCATTTATATGATATATATTTGTATATCGTCATCACGCATTACTTTTCACTTTGCGAATTACAATACTCGCACTGCATTAATAATTGATACACCATTTTACAACTCAGGAATAGTCCTAGAGTGTTTTTATACCCCAGCGTTCCCTTGGAAAAAGAACTGAATGGTGTTCCAATAAAACTGATTAGGTGTATCAATAATAATTGATGATACTGCATTAGTAATTGATGATTAGTTACTGTATAGTTAAACATTGGAACTAATCAATTTTTTTTCTTAAAGGTCATGTTAAGTTCAACATGATATAATGTTCGTAAGTATAATATTATAAATAAGTTAGTACTCTTAATTAATTTTTAAGGTGCTGTTCTTCTATGTTTTGAGAAGATAAATAAGCTTGAATATTATACTTTCTGGGACATAATCAAATATAAATTTTGTCAATGTTTCTACATTAACAAGTGAGTTGTGTAGACCCCGTGATCTTTCTTTAATGAAAAATATTATAGAATATTGTGAATGAAATTTTAAAATTATTTTAAGAAGTCTCTAGAGTTATCTGCAAAGCAGTGAAGAAATGTTCGATAAGCGTTCATAAGAATAGATTCAATGCAAAAGTAGTGAGATAGGAGAATGTATTCACGAAAAGAAACTTCTGCATCTGATAATATCTCAATACATTTAGAATTTTCTATGTATATGAATTCAAGTTATTTAGTTTATCTTCACATGGATCCCAATAGACCTGAAGAAACCAAATTCTCTGTGAAATATAGGAAAGAGACATTTTAACATTACATTCAAATAATCACATCACAGTTTTTTTTCATTTAAATAATTTTTTTCCATTTTGAAAACTATCTTAATCAAGTGTATTTTATATAATATTAAATTAATAAATTCAATCGTTTATACTTTATAGTTTATGATATCATTGATTTGGATATAACTAAAAAATAAAAACTTATAAAAAAAAACAAAAAATGAACTCACATTACTATTCCTCTAAAAAATCTAAAAACAATCAATAATATACAATATGTTAATAATATAAATTTTTAATTGAGGTGTAAAAATACCTCAGATGAGAGATTATTTATGTGAAAAAAATATAAACTACTTTTCCTGGTTAAAAATGGATCGCGGCTCATTTCATCCAATTGTAGAAAGATCGCAGCACGTACAACGAATATGATAAAGATATGTGAAGAGAAAATGCAAATTTCATCGTTCTGTATGTTTTACGTCGGGATTTGCTTCGCGTAGAGATGCGCAGACGATTTGCTCGCACGTGGACCGTCATCGTGCACCTGTCAACGTAAAACATTCGCGAAATACCAAATGTCTATCGTGTATATTATATAGCGTAGTTTGACCGTTCAGTGTATGACGCGAGCTTTATTTTTACTTTGAGCTCTGGGTATTTTTATCCTGTAATTCACTGGAATAATGTAAAACATATATCTATTGCTAATTCATTACGGTAATTTAGTTTTAATTATTCAAACGAGGTGAGTGTATGTGATACATATATTTTATGTATAATATTATGTTTTAGTATTATTATGCGATTTTTTAAATACATGTACATACGTATGAAAATATAATAACATATGTCAATGATGCGCAATCCGCGGCCCACCAAATTGATTTTCTACGATCTGTCAGTATCTCATAGTCGACAGTATAAAATCACACTGAAAAAAATATTAAACTTTTATAAATATTTGTTTGAATTGTTCTAAGCAAATATTTGCTAAATGTAAACGTATGTATTGGATATAAAAATTATTAATTTGATTTAACTACCATTTTTTATAACAAATATAGTTATGATATATATGACATACGCTACCAAAAATAGATATTATGCGGCCCACAAGATTTGGTTTGTGTCTGAAAATAATCCTCAATTTAAGAAAGATTGCACACCTCTGACATACGTAATGAGAATAAAGTATTACAAATCAGAATAGAAGTTTCTTAATAAATAAAACTTTTGTTCCTTTTTTACTAACAAAAAGAGAATAAACAGTATCAAAGTATTACATCAATAAGTATTATATTACGGATTTTAAAAAGACGTTGTATCGCATTATGTGTAATGTAAGCGTGAAAAATAATGTATTGTATCTTATTGCATAAAATTTGTGTAAAAATTGTTAGAAAAAATGAATACTCTTCATAAAATGAATAAATTACCGAATGGTTTTACTAAATGATGTGCGCATAAATGTCAAAAATACAAATACATAGATTATTGTTTATACGAAAATGTAACACTTTTATTTCCATATAGTTTAAAGCAGACCTCTTAGATTATATTAATTTATAGAAATATGCAATTTCAGATCGAATCTACATAAATTTTCTTTATGGCTGGTAAGTTCAACATTTTTAAAAAGATGGATTTTCGGATTTGACGTTATTTTAAATCTTTCTTTCTAAAGAGCATATAATCGAATAAGTAGAGAAGTCCTCTTTTCTCTTTACTTTTTTTATATGTTATATATAATACAAATATAAAAATGGCAAAATTATTTTACAAATTTATTATAATATTATAATTAAGTATCTAAAGTATTAATAATGTGAGTAAATTTAAAAATTCACGGATAAAAAATGTGTAATTATATAGAATTATCGAGTATAAATGTAATATTGCAATTCTCATATTATAAATATATATTACGTTCTATTCAAGCAACGACATTAGTGGCTACGTTTGCTTACCCCATCACAATTATTGGAGATCACACCGGATCCGATTGGTTCGCTTTGCATTCCACTGGTCTGAGAAATCGGCCATGTTTATGATTCGCCGACCCACAGAGTCGAGCTCCTCGGGCTCGATTCAGCTGCTCTATAAATCCAGGGATACGCGTCTGTGTGTCGGACGGATCTTTAGCGCCACGTATCATGTATGTTCACTTATATACAACCTTTATCCTAGATTAACTACACCACGCTCAGTCCGGTTTCGATCCATTACGTGCATGTAGGTGCGTAGTGCTATACCGAATGCACGATGCTTCCTATTTCGCTAAGCGAAAAAGGTGCCGTATACACACTATAGAGATGTCACAATCAAATAACACACAATGGTATGAAAAAGTAAAAAGAAAGGAACATATCGGTAATTGCACGCTTTTTCTGCAGTCAGCGATATTTTACGTAAATCGACAAGAGCAAAATTTCTGTCGGTTGACGACGTTATTAGCAAACTTCCGTTGCAAACTCCCCTTTGCATCTTCATGCATTTTCATCGTTAAACATTTGCATTTGACCGACATAATCGCGCCGTTCTTAATTTATGAGTGAAAATCGCGAGTAATTAATGCCTGTTTTGAAGGCAGCAATTGAGAATCTCTTCGTCTGATGTGTTTTCTTTCAAGAATAAATATTTTCGCGAGACAGAAATAATTTTATATTTGTCGTTACATCCATTTTTTTTTTATAGCAGATAATCTGTGGCACTGGTAAAGAGCAAAGGGTAAGTGCTTGCGTTAACACGCGCAACCGAAACAGAAACAATTTTGTAGCTCGCAGCACGTCTATCACGATCCACTTTTTTCCGAGAGATATCTCACGAATGCGCATTGCTACGTTGTTAATATCAGGCGACCAGCTGGCGGAAAAGCGCAATTTTTGTTCAGCGGGTAGCCGCGTTTAATGGAAACGGCACCAAATTTTTTTCACTGAACCTTTAACGACAAACAATTGCGCCGTCACCTGTCAAACACATGCTACGTACTACGAGTGCGAACGGTTGAACCGATATTACGTAAGAGTTATACGCATTAACAAAAAGGAATTGCTTCACGATATATCGTTCCATTAACTTTACTAAGACTCTAATGCAATAATGTATGCAGCAACAATTTTTCTTATATTTAACGTATACATACATAATATTCAATAATATCTAATATTACGTTTAATATAATTTAATTTTATAAAATATAATTAATATTAAATTAAGTTTAATTAAAGTAATTTTAATTCAATTTTGTAAAATTTAATATAATAAAAATATTCTATATATATATATATATATATATATATATATATATGCTAAGAGTATAGTACTTCATATACGTGCTTTGTATTTTTCAATACCGTATATTTGTATATTATTTAAAGTTATAGTCACAAATATGATTTTAAATCTGTGTACGTGTACAGTTAATAAACTATTTTTCTTTCACTTTTTAATACTTGCATTAATAATATAATAGATTGACGTAAGTATTAATCCATTTAACATATAAATTATTAAAGCGTATAGCTGCTCATGACATTTCCGCAGACACAAATTCGAGAGGAATGTGTTAAGATTTTCTTCCTTTTTTAAAGAAAAATTTTATAAAAATAAATAATACATAATATTACGTATATATAGCTTTTGCATAAATGGATTCAATAATTTATTATACTTCAATATAGAATACTGATA